TTGTAATCCTTGTGGATAATCCTTTGTCACGTTACGCTTKTTCCATAATTCCCATGTGAATCAGTGAGAAAGCGTAGCACGTGATATGCTGCAAATCTGATTCCTTTTCCAGTGGAAAAACCATCAGGAAATGCCATTTATATACTACTGACTTTTAGGCAGAAATATCTGGATATAAAATAGAGGAAGGGGCCAACTTCATTCATTATATYGAGGCTGAGGCAACTGCGCCGTTATGGAATAAAAAGAAAACAAAGAATTTGACTGGAATTTCTTCAGATACCTCTAACACAATCTTTAGGTAAGTGAAAATTTAGCATTTTGTACGGTGGAAGGGGGAGCACCTTATCATAGTGTGTCAGGTGAGGAGTAAAAGAAAGGCTTGAGACATGAATCGGCTCAAACTGTTCCGTATTAAACATTTCTGCAACGTACTCAAGTTAGCTGCTTCCCGAAGGTTACCAAAGTTTACGAAAAGATTKTTGAAAATTTTGCATTTCATTCACACAGAAATGAAACCGGCGCACTTGTTAATGATGTTGCCAGCTATACAAAATTCTTGAAAGCCCTCGCAAAAGTGGATGACGCGTTACAAGAAAGAAGAAAAGAGAACAAGAAACCGATTTCAGCACGTGAAGGACTTTCTCTCATTGGCTGGACACCAAGYACTCCTTTTCAGTATGCTTTGGAGTGGCTCTCGTTGGATTTTACATTTGCCAAAAAAGTAGAACTTCTTCCGTTCAGCTCTYTGGAAGGCATAACAGAAGAAGGGGAAGATGATTTCTTTATTACTGACCAGCGTGGGGTGATCGAGCTTTACAAAGATCTTTACAAAGRATTTGAGAGTAAGATTAAGTTGAACAAAACGATTGTTGGAATCAAATATAATTCCAGCTTTGTGGAGGTAGGTCGTATTAAGTAACCTTGAAAAGAAATAAGATATTTGCAAAAGAGGTTTCAAAAACAAGACTAGAAAATTTGTCTGGTAGAAAAATTTACAAATATATTCAGGTGTACTGTTGGCGAGCATTTCATTGCATTGTTTTTGAGAAATGGTGATGTTTATTTGAGAGCAGCGTCTATTCGYGTGAGAGATCGGCAAGTCGAAATGCAACTTTGTCAGCTGAAAAAAWTGTGATATCATTAAAGAGTAATTAGGAATTTTTATACMAWATCGCTCAGTATRGCCTGACCCCTTGCATGTGACGTCAAACCAGCTTCATCTGGTAGGACAAAACAAACGATTTTTGCCCTCTTGGGAACTAKAATCTATTCATTTGTCCTCCAGTTGGAATTGCATTCCCACKAACTGCAAAGGGTCTACTCTATAGATGCTTGGAAGAAAATTAAGGCTAATTTTGTATTCCCACACAAAAACATTTG